TGTGTCCAGCTCTGGCATTCATACTTCAAGAAAGATGTTGAAAAATTGGAGAGGGTTCAAAGAAGAGCTATGAGAATTATAAAAGATTTGGTAAGCGTGCCTTATAGGAGAGATTCAAGAAGTTTCATTTGTTTAGCTTATCAAAGAGAGGGTTTAAGGGGTGATTTTGATCAGTTTATGGATGGGGAACAGAAATTTGATAACAGGGCTCTCCTTCTAGCAGACAGATATACAGTAAAATTTGTGTTTTCTGGCACTTTACCAACCGGAAAGCTCTATAAATCAACATTTCTGATCTTCAGTAGGGTTGCCAGGTGTCCGTTTTTTCACCGGAACGCCTGGTCAAAAAGGGGTCCTGGCGGCTCCGATCAGCACCGCTGACCAGGCTATTAAAAGTCCGGTTGGTGCGGGGCCGGCAGGCTCATTACGTGGCGCTGCATGGCTCCCCGGAAGTGGCGACATGTCCCTGCTGCTCCTAGGCGGAGGAACGGCCACAGGGGCTCTAGGCACTGCACCATCCCGAGTGCTGGCTCTGCAGCTCCCGTTGGCTGGGAACTGCGGCCAATGCAAGCTGCAGGGGCTGCGCCTCCGCCTAGGAGCAGCAGAGATATGCTGCCACTTCCAGGGAGCCACCCTAGGTGAGCGCCGCCCGGATCCGGCACCCCAAAACCCCTCCCATGCCCCAGCCCCCTGCCCCATGCCCCCTCCTTCACCCAAACTCCTTTCCAAAGCCTGCACATACACACCCCGCCACCCACCCCTGAGCCCCCTCCCGCACCCAAACTTCCTCCCTCTTAGTTAACCAGAATTTTTTACTTACCGGCACTCCCCATTCCTCCAACACGCTGGATAACAAAGCTTTTACTGTAACAAGATTTAGTGGCTGGAAATTCAAGCTTGACAAAATCAGACTGGAAATAAGGTGCAGTTTTTTAATAGTGAGAGTGATTAACCATTGGAACAATTTACCCAAAGGTGGTGAGATTCTTCATCACTAGAAATTTTTAAATCAAGATTGGATTTATTTTAAAGATAAGCTCTAGTTCAAACAGAAAATAATTCAGGGAGGCCTGCTAATTCTGATTATTATTTCATATTTGTACCTATTGGGAGCAGGGAAATTAATTTGGGGTTCTTACAAGAAATATTATGTAACAAATTATTTCAAAGATCTAAATTAAGATGATAAATGGATTCCTCAGTGTAGTGAATGTACTGATTTTTGGTGCTGTTGTTTTAGACCTGTGAAAAAATCTCTTCAAAGGAGCTGAAGCATAATCATGGAAAAAGCGAAGTGACTAAGCCTGTTAGAAGAGTTTCAGAGTCAGTACATTCAACTGAGGAAAGCAAAAATGATCCTAAAGTGGAAAGAGAACATAAAAGAAAAACCTCTACCTCTCTTCAGATAGAAGGAACGCAGCAGGACACAGAAACAAGGGATCCCAAAAAGCAGCTGGAGAGAGCTGAGATTAGTACTGATGAACTGCAGAAGCAGAAATATGCCTTTAAAAATGAAAAACATCTGAAAAAAGATGATACAGAAATTCAAAATTTGAGAAATGTTCCCAAGAAAGAACTCAAATCATTTAGAGATAAAAATGAAAAAGAGAGAACTCTTTCAGAAGATAAATTGTTAGTAAAACATAAATATAAAGGAGACAGTGTACATAAAATAAGTGAAGATATTGACCTCCATTCTTTTGAGAGAAGCTTGAAAGGCGAGGATAGTGTTCAAAAACATAATCAACAAACAAAGGTTCCATCAGATGATAAATCTGAAAAAAAAAGTAAACACAGAAGCGAAAGGAAAATATCAACAACTAGCAAAGATGGAAAAAATGTTTCTGAATATACTTTAAAAAATGAAGAAATGTTGCGTAAAGAAAATAACAAAAAAGACAGACACATTTCAACAGAAAAGTCAAGAGCGGAATACAAGTCCAAAAGGTCATCAAGTGATTCTAGGCCACAGAAGGATTCTCAAGGTAATTCTAAGCAACTTGTTTCTTCATCACAGAGAAAGAGTGAAAGCTATTCAGAAGATAAACATGAAATAGAATCAACTAATTCAGATAGTAATTTAAGGCAAGAAGATAGTATTCACAGAGATAGACGAAGATCGAAGAGCTTCTTAGAAGACAAGTTTTTGTTAAAGTCTAAATCTAAGTGTCACAGTAAACAATCCAAACCAATTGAAACAGAATTACAAGAAAGTTTTACAAAACACGAGACTATTCAGAAACCAGACAAAGATAAGAATATGGAAGAGAATGACACTGATAAACAACGCAAATCCAAGAATGAAGATAAAGTGTTTGATGAAAGCAATGTTGATTTTGAGGTAGAAAGTGGGATGCACTCAATTTATAGTTCACAAAAAGACTTTAGCCACAGAGTTAAGTTACAAGCAGGCGAAAAGGTAACTGTAAAAGAGAAAAATAAGAGTGATAAAGATTTAAGTTATTCCAAACTAGAAAGAAAGCTGTCAGTAGAAGGTCACAAAAGCAGAAACTTAAAGCATAGCAATAAGGAAATGAAGAAGAAGGAAGAGAGTAACAAATTGGAGGACAAAGATATTAAAGAAATAGACAGTAGCCATGAAAAGGTGCAAGGGATTATGATTATGGATAAAAAGTCAAGTAAGAAATTATCTTGTGAAAATAAAAAAGGAAACTTGTCAGCCCATGAAATGACAATGGAAGAGGAAAAATTAGCAACTGATATATTTGTAACCAGTCATATTCCAGCCACTCAAAGACCAATCAGGACTAGTGATGGCTTGTTACATTCTGAACAAGGAGAAGAGCCAATGGAAGTTGATTCAGAACAAACATATGCAAAGGTACATGAAGCATCTAAAATTGAAGAAAAAAGCAGTAGTAATTCACTACTAGACATGGACTCTGAAAATACTGCAAAAGAAAATATGAACCTACATAATTCAAAAAATGAATTAAGAAACAGATTGGCGGATTTTGAAGCATGTGTATCAGAGTTTCCAGCTGACAGAAATTCTGAACAAACCATTGAACATGAAAAAAATCCTATTGAAGGAGTTGATGCACTAGATACTATGTCCAAACAAGCTTCTGAGGAGCAAGGACCCATTAAACAAGGGGCGTATCAAATGAACATTGTGTATGAAACAAGTGGCAGAATTTTACTTAATGCTCCTATTAAGGAGCAGACTTCAGAAGATGCCAGAAAACCAAAAAATTTAAACAAAGTCAATCCTATTGAAGAAAGTCTTTCTTTAGCAATTAATTCATCCAGACAAGATGCTTCCCATAAAAAGTCCATGGATATATGTATCTCAGACTTCACAGACTCTTTGCCTAATGTAGCTAAAGAGGAATCTCATACTTTAGATAAGATTTGTTTAAAGAAAGACTCCTTTATTTTAGACAATAGTGCAACACAAACTGCATACATGGAACAACAGGGTAGCCCTGTGCTAGGTTGTGTTATGAAAGAAGCTGAGGTCACCATGATAAACACTGAAAAAAAAGATGGTGAGACTTGTCTAATTGGTGAACAAGCAGTAGGAGAGAGCATGGGTGATGTAAGTATACAAGAAGGTTATGATCAAGTGACTATGTTAGATAGTGTGCAAAGAAGAAATGTGTATAATGTAACTGGTGGAATAGAAGGCAAAAGCTCGATGACTGACCAAGCTGCGGATCATGAAGGTATAAGCATGAAAAAATCTGTCTTGATGAATCTGGGGAAAAAAGAAAGTGATGATAACTTAAATATAGGTGCTGCTGCAAAGGAAGAAAAGGGTACCATGGTGGATATTATCAAAAAGAGTGAAGGACATGATATGGGTGACGTGGTAGAATCTTCTTTGTTGCTAGTGCCAATGAATGTTATAAGAGTTCCAGAAGAAATAATTAAAGACTCTTTTATAGTTAGTGGAGCAGAAGAAGGTGATGGCATAATAACTGACACTGAAGCTCAAAATGAAAGCAATGTAGTGGGCACCAGTGCAGGAAGTGTTGATCACATATACAACAGGCTAGAAACAACTGAGGCCACTGCAATAGGAACTAGCACAGAGAAAATGATTGAGAGCACTGTAATGGCCACTAGTACAGGAGAAGGAAAAGGTGAGGGTGCTGCAATACACTCTGAAAAGGAAAGTGATGCCACAACTACTTGCTCAGAAGAAGAAAGTGAGGTTACTTTAATCTGCACAAGCATAGAAGCCGATGAAGGTTTCACGACAAGTATATGGGCGAAAAGTAATGAAGGTGTCAGTTTCAGCACAGAAGCAGATGGTGAATGTACTGTTGCAGCAGCTGAAGAAGGTAGCGGTGTTGTCACTGGAGGATTTGCAGAAACAGAAAGTTTCCTAACTAGTACAAAGGAAGGAGAAAGTGCTGAGTGCACCATGATTTATACAGAAGAAAATGGTAAAGATTCAGTCAATGCAGGCAGAATAGAAATTGAGGATAATGTGAACAGTGCTGGGACAGAAGAAAAAGATGATGCTGTAACTAGTGCAGGCTCGGAAGAGAAGTGCAAGACTTCAACTTGTAGACGTACAGGCAAATTTGAAGGTTCTGTTACCTGTATAGGTGAAATTGAAAGTGATGGTGCTGTAACCAGTGCAGGCACAGAAGCAGGTGAAGGATCCATGAGCAGCAACAATTCAAATGAATGCCAGAGCAATGTAACTGGTGCTGACCAGTTAAAAGAAAGTGAGGGTGCTGTGACTTGTACAGGTGCAGAAGAAAGAGGTCATGGCTTCATAATTGGCTCAGTGACTGGTGTAGATGCACAAGAAGACAGTGCTGTAACTGGTGCATGTGTTGAAATGGTCATGAACAACAATACCATGAGTGGAACAAGTGCTGACAAAGGTGAAGATATTGTAAATGGTGAAAGTGCAGTGACCAGCACAGGCATAATAGCAGAAGATGATGCTGAGACTGCAGCAGTCTGCACAGGACTAGAAGATAGCAATGAAGGTTTTGCAGTTGGCTTAGATGTAGAAAAATGTGAAAGTGCAATGGACAGTACAGGAGCAAAAGAAGAAGCTACTATCACTATGATCAGCATAGGGCCTTGTGACGATGAAGGCTTTGTGACTAGCACAGGTGCAAAAGAAGAAGATGAAGAAGGTGAGGGTATTGTGACCAGTACAGGAAGAGGAAATGAAGAAATAGAGCATGCTTCAACCTGTGCAGGACTAGAAGGTGAAAGTGCACTCATTTGTATAGCGTCAGAAGGTGAAAGTTCGATTATTTGCATAGTTGCAGAACAAGTAGAAGCTGAGTCTGGTATGGCTGCTACAAATATAAATAAAGATGGGGTTGACAGCAATACTGGTGCAAAGAAAGAAGCTAATGGTGGCATAATCTGCAAAAGTGCAAAGGGGATAGTTGAGAGCAGCGTGACAAGTGCAAGCATAGCAAATGACACTCTGACCCCAAATACAGAAGAAGATGAGGATGCCATGATGTCTATAGATGTTGAAGCATATGAGGGTCCAATGACTAGTGTAGAGAAAGATAAGGGTCAGTCTGCTGCTGCAGCTGAAGAAAAGAATGGCAATAGTGCCAATGGAAGTCATGGCAGAAAATGTGAGAGTCCCATAACCAGTGCAGTCACAAAGAAAGATGAGAGTCCTCCTGCTTCTACTGATGAAGAAAAAGCTAAAGGTGACGTGATCTCTACCAGTACCGTAGAAGAAGGTGATGCTCCCATGCCATGTTCAGCCACAGAAATTGAAGAAGGTTCCCTCACTCTTGCAAGAACAGATGAAAATGAAAGCACTGTGGTCTTAATAGACAAGGAAGAATTTGAGGCTCCCAGGCCTAGTACAGTCACAGAATTCAAAGAGACTACATACACTGCCAGCAGTAAACAAGCAAAAGATGAGTGCACAATGATTTCCACCAGTATTGTGGAAGAATTTGAGACTCCCATGCCCAGTGTAGCTATGGAATATAATAGTCAGGTCACTGCTGCAAGAAAAGAAGAAGTGAATGAGAGTACTATGTTTTGTATAGACATGGAGATATATGAGGTTGCCATGCCCAGTGCATCCAGTGCTAGAGATGATGGAAATCCTCCCACTGCAAGTGGCAAAGAAGAAAAAGATGAGTGTGCTATGATTTCCACAAGTATAATGGAAGAACAAGTGATCCTCGTGTCCAGTGAAGCCACAGAGGATAGGATTCAGCATGTTGCTGCAGGCACAGAAGCAAAAAGTGACACTGCCATGATCTCCACAAGTATGGACTATTTTGAGGCTCCTATGCCCAGTGCAGCCACACAAGATGAAGATCAACTCACTGCTTCAGGAACAGAAGGAAGACTGGAGGCTGCCATGATCACCAGAAGTGGGACAGAAGAATGTGAGATAGTCCTGATCAGTGCAGCCACACAAGCTGAAAGTCAACTCATTACAGCAGAAAGAAAAGAAAAAGATGAGGGTTCCATGATCGCCCCAGATGCAGCAGAAGAATGTAAGGTTGTTGAGACCAGTGCAGCGAGAGATGAGCAGCGTGAACTAACTGCTCTAAACACAGAAGGAAAAAGTGGTGGTTCTATGATTATTGTTAGAAAGGTGGTAGAATGTGGGGCTCCAATGCTGAGAGTTGCCAGCAGCAATGAAGATCAACACATTGCTTCAAGTATAGACGATAAAGAGGAAGGTGCTGTGATCACTCTCAGTACAATGGAAGAATGTGACAGTCTTTTCACCTTCTCAGTCATAGAGGAAAGTCAGCTCGTTGCTGCAAATACAGAAGTAAAAGATGAAAATGTCATCTTTAATAGTACCAAAGAAATTGAATGCATCCTGTCATCTACAGGCCCAGAAAAAAGTGATAGTTCTTTGCCTGTGGGTGGTAGAGAAGTAGATGAATGCATATATAGGGGAGAAAAGGAGATTCATGAGGATGCTGTGATGGGAGAATCAGTAGTAGCTAAGATCACATCCGACACTGAAGTTGCAGAAACAGCTGAGACTACAGTGAACCTCATAAGTATAGATGAAGCCCTCTGTATGGAGATCAGTACAGAGTCTACAGTCATTGTTAGCCCTTCTACAGAGTTGGGTGCAAGTGGTGAAAGAGCAGAAGAGTATATTCCATATGTGGAAGTTACATCAGAACCTTGTATTCCTTCAGAAGAAGCAAAGAGGAATGATAACTTTAAAAACATAGACTATAATGTTAACAGTAGCTTATTATTAGAAAGTGACTTTTCTGAAGCAAGGACTTCACCTCCTAGGGCACAAACTCTTCCGCTAGTTTCTGAACATGAAAGCAAATGGACTGTAAATACCAATCAGGGTGAAATAACTGTAGAAGCAAAACTGGGAGAAAAGAGTGACTTCCCTGTGTCGCATATGGATAAACAATTTGAGAATGATGGCAAAAAGAACACCGTGGAAGTAAATGATAACCTTGGAATCGAAGTTTCTTTTCAACAAAATACAAGCTTCAATTCAGGTAAGGTTTTCTCTTCCCTTCCGCACCCCCTTTGATTTATAAACTGCATGTACCTAACATACTTTGTAGTTCCTGAATCTACATATGTAGGGGAAATTCTGTTGAAACGCCCTATAATGGTCTGTCTGGTACTGATGGATCTTTTCTTTTGAGAAGGGTGTAACACCTTCTCATGAAAATCAGCCTCTCCCATTAAGGCCTGGTCTACACTTGCGGGGGGGGGGGGGGGGGATAGATCTAAGATATGCAACTTCAACTACGAGGATAGCGTAGCTGAAGTCGACGTATCTTAGATCGACTTAGATTGACTTACTTCGCGTCCTTGCAGCGCGGAATCGACGGCCGCTGCTCCCCCATCGACTCCGCTTCCACCTCTCGCCCTGGTGGAGTTCCGGAGTCGACAGGAAGCGCGTTCGGGATTCAATCACTACCCGCCGATCCAGCGGGTAGTGTAGACATACCCTAACTAATGTATCTTTCCTGTCTACTGACTTACACAGTCACAGAGGCTCACAATACGACTGCTCAAATATTACCTTTCAATATGGGATTACAGATGTTATGAATGAAATTAATGCATGCAGCAACTGACAAGCATTCAATAAAGTCTCAACACATTCTTATAATTCATACTTCTTTTAACAATGGTAACACACATGTGATTCTAGCTATGTATTTGTCAGTGGTCAGTTGAGACATGGGGACCTCGACATGAGCTGCCAGCATCAGAGTTACTTCATTGCAGATTCAGAAGAAATTGGGCTGTAAAAGAAAGAAAGCTCTCAGATATACTATATCTTCATTAATAGTAAAGGAAACAGAAAATACTGGTCAAGTAATTTTCCTTTTATAAATGCTTTCTTCTTCTCTCTCAGGTTTTCTCACTAATAAAGGTAGAAGAAATACATTAAACATTGTAAGACAAATTTAGTTTCCAGAAAATATGCCAAATTGACAAACCTGAAGACTGAAGTTCACTATGTATAGAATAGGGACAAGTATGGGCCATGACAATGCAAACTTCCACTCATTGCCCTGCAAATCTTCCTCAACCCTGTCTCCTCTGGGGAATACTGGGTAGTCCAATCTTCCTATTCAATTTTTGTTCTCCACTGAAACAGCCTACATGGATGCCAGTTGTACTCATTTTATTTGGTGGACTGCAACCAGTGAGTCATTTCACATAGATCATCAAGCAGCCTTCAGATGGTAATGACTTTTAGTTAATAAGATTTTCAAAAATGAGTTCCTGAAGACTTCAGAATCCATATTTAGATATGTAATTAATTGACCTGATTTTCAGAGGCGTGGAGCATCCTGTGGCTCCCATTTGAAGAGTGTGTCGGGGCGGGGGGGGAAGACTCTTCAGGATCTTGCAAAAAGACAATCATTATATTAGTTGGAGCTATTGAATATTTAGCCTCTCTGAAAATCTGGTCATTTATTTGAATGCCTAATTATGGACTTAAACTCTTAACTTTAGGCACCTTTTTTTTAAAAAAAAAAATCTTGATTTATGTCCCTTAGTGCAACTCCTGAGCTATCTAGTGACTCATACAGTCTTAATGGTCTATTTAGATTTTTACCTAATGAAGTCTGTTGATATTACTAACAGTATTTAAAATAAAATATTGAATACTTTCCATAATTTTCAAAATCAAGCATCAAAATTAAGCTGAGAGAAACCTGGGATCCAATGTTCTCTACCCCAACTCTTCCATCAAAACGTAAAAAAGTGGATGGGAGAGTGAACTTTATTTTGTGGGGGACAGATTATTTTCAAAATGATTAATTCATTTCATCACTGGGGTAGCTACATCAGATGCATGAACTTTATATAATGTTCCTGGGGAACAGCAGTCCTATTGCGGTTCTATTCAAATATATCAAATAATTGTTAATCTACTTATATTTCATCAGGCAAGAAAGAAACTTTACCAATCTTGGCTGAAGAACTGGAACTGAAAACGAACTTGAAAACTGAAGAGGTATTTTGAAAATAGCGATAACATTCTCTCCTGTGTAGTTGTGCACAATCTTAAGTTTAAATTTTCTTTTTTATATGTATTTCTATTTAAATAGAATGTGTGTGCAACTAAAACTGAATTTGAATCTTGCAAGCTTTTAAAGGGACATTCTCCAGATATTTAGCTGCAGCTTTTCAAGTGACTCGTATTTAAATTGCACACGTGCACTTTACAGATTATTCAGCAGTAGAATCTGTTGCCTGTTCCAATGGTGTAATTCCCCCTTTTAAATAGCTACATAATGTCCCAAACTGTGCCCCCCCCTTTTTTTTTAAGGGTTGGAGTCATATTGTGAATATGCTTATTATGATAAATAGTTCTTCTGAACATACTTATGCATTCATAAATTTTATAATCCTTAATATCCATTAGTTAGGTATTTTGAAATGAACAGATGCTACTGATATTCATTTTCTCTGCTCCACTTTTTTGTGCTGAGCTGCAAAATCACTTGTTTCAAGAGAAAGCCAGGGAAGACTGGAAAAATTGACTGTCTAAGGAAAATATTTTTATTGCCACAACAGCTACATACTCTGCTGATAATTACTTTAGAAGAACTTGTAGATGGAATACACCACTAATCTAGATTTTTACTAAAGTACCTTCAGAGAACTTCACTTACAGGGAGAATAATCCCTAGAAACTGCATCTGGATTTCAAGTGATTTCTCTTGAGATCTCTACATTACAATAATCTATTGTTTCTGTGGCAGATTTAACAGTTAAGTAGAACTAATGGTGCTGTACTTTTTGGTGATATAATACTGCTAATCCCCACTACTAAACTAATATGATGTATCAATATTTGATTGAAAAGCTGTTTAAAATCTTGTAATTCAAAGCTCTCTCCACTGCTTCACTGAGGCTATACAGTTACTATGTTACTATGGATACGAGCCAATTTTTTTCCCCCATAGACCTGAAGTATTTTGTTTTCTTTGTATGCTGCTTTTAGCCACAAAAGTCTAGAAGTCCAACAAGGGAAGAACTGCATGAGGAGTCTCATACTGAAGAGTGTCTAAAAGGTAGATATATTTTGTTGTGGCTTAGTACGCCTGTTTGGCACTGGTGCAACCACTACTGAAATATTTTGTCCAGTTCTCAGGTCCACAATTCAAGAAGGATATTGACAAATAGGAGCGGGTTTAGAGAAGACCCACAAGAATGATTAAAGGATTGGAAAACATACCTTAGTGATATACTCTGTTTAGCTTAACAAAAAGAAGATTAAGGGGTGACTTGATTACAGTCTGATACCTACATTGGGAACAAAAATTTGATAATGAACCCTTCAGTCTAGCAGACAGAAGTATTTATGGGAATGGTTAGAAGTTGAAGCTAGATAAATTCAGACTGGAGATAAGGTGTACATTTGTAACATTTAGGATAATTAGCCTTTGGAACAATTTATTAGGGCTTGTGGTGGAGTCTCCATCTCTGGCAATTTTTAGAAAAACCACTCAATCTTAACTTGAAAGATATATGCTCTACTTCAAATAGGAATTAATTCAGGGAAGTCCTATGGCCTGTGTTCTGCAGCTGGACAAACTAGATTATAAGAGTGATTATTTCTGTCCTTAGTTATGTGTCTCTACATTTTTATGATGACAGTGGTTTACATTTTCATATTTGGGAGTTTCTTGACCCATTGCTTTAGAAATAATACCCAAGGAAAAGCAGTTTAAGTTAATACTTTTTTTTTTTTTTAATTTATTTAATATCACAGGGGGTTAAAGGCCCCAAGCTCTGCTCTGTGATGAAGTCAGGTGATCAAGGGTCACATGACGCTGCAGCACCTCCTATAAGCTGGGCTGCATAGGCTATCTGTGGACTTACAGGACAAGACTTACTGGACGAGACATGAGGAGCAGGAAGGCTCTGGTAGTAGAGCAAGGATTGTGGCAAGTTAGGGAAGCTTGTCAGAATTTAGGGATAGGCCCTAGAAAGAAGACTGTGGAGGAACCTGCACAGCTTGGTTGAGGAAGAACTGCAGTCTCTTGAAGTGTGGCTGCAGAGAATCCTGCTGACCAGGTGAGGAATGATTTGAACCTGGAAGGACCAAGAAAACTCACTTTTATTATATAACTAGAATGGTTCAATAAAGCAGACCCCAAGAGGAGAAGTTAATGAAAACTCCTGGGTGTGAATTAATTGGAGAGTTAGGGGGGGAAACTGAGCCTGGCTTAGGCTCAGTTCTCCTCCTTCTCCTCCCCCCACAACTCTCCAATTAATTCACACTCAGGTAACTGTATTGCCATATCATTTGGTACCCAGCTCTGAGCCACACTTTTCAATGGAATAGAATAAATATGTTGGGTTGGGGGTTGGAAACATGCTATTGTAACATGACAAAAGTGGCTTATCCTATGAATTTGTATTGAATGGAAATAGCCTTTCTAAAAGGTTAAATCAGAGCATCAAAGTGCCTCAGTAATACACTAGAAATTTGCTTCATAAATCTTCAGATGCTACTATTAATTGCTTGAGACAGCAATCTCAGAGGTAATTTTTCTCTATCTCGTTTCCATCCCCTTATTTCCCATGTTGGCCTCTATGGAAGATTACTAATTGCAAGCAGATTATAAACTGTTAATGTTCTCATAATGTTGTCAGTATTCAGGTAAAATACAGCAACCTTCCCATAGGGATGTAGGACTAAACTTAGAATGTCCTTGTTTTTAGTGTTTTAACAAGTCTTTTGCAGAGATGGTACTAGTAATTGCATTTCTATTATGGCTGAGTCACAGTGTCTTCAGTACTGGCTTCAGAGGAAGATTTCATGTGTCTTCCCTCCTAGCCAGAAGATAGCAAGTTCATATCCATTTGCCACAGTTTGAAGAGCATTTATAAGTTGAATGATGGGAAAATTGTATTTTCTCAAGTTAAAGGCTGAGTTATTTTTAGGACTATGTAACCTGTTAAAAATCTCTTCCACTGCAAATGTTTCTGCACTCACTTAATTCCTTCTCCAAGTATTATTTTCAAATATTTATTGCAGTTGTTTTGTTATGCTTATAAGGCTGAAAAAAAAACAGTACTGCTTAGAATGGTTTTTTTATATTTTTTCCTTTCTTCTTGATGGAGTTTGTGCTCCAGGTAATTTTGTAAGGACATTTGCCACATGACTTAGAAACAGATCATCATCAATTATTGCAACAACTAGATAACAAGACTAAGTTGAATTACAAAAGATAACAGGGATAACGCTAGGTGTGCATGGCACTGTCCAAGGAAATTAAAGACACAGTCCCTTCCCTAAATAGTTTAGAGTTGAAGACCTACAGCCAGTAAAGTGTTACGGCTGGGTATACAGTTACCCCCTCCCATGTTGGTTTTGAAGCCAGCTGGACCCTTAGGTATGATTAGGATTCGGGTGAGTTGGCTGCAGGTTAGACTAGATAACATTTGCAGTCCCTTCTAACCCTGTGATTCTATGCTTCTACGTGATGTACGGAAGGATCACCTTGACAAGGGGGGCAGAGAGGTAGGTTTACCTAAAATAGAATATGGGGGTTTAAGTCAATTCTTAATATAGGTAAGTAGATAGATATAGACTTTAATATCAATCTGTTGTGTTGAGTAACATGGCAGAGCCTTTGATAAGCCCTCAGCTAACCTACTTGTATAGTTGAATTTTTTTTCTGCTTCTATTTGTGTTCTTCCACCACTTACCAAAAAAAAAAAAAAAGCGCCCCTCTTCAAAAACAGAGTAAAAGTAGCCATAATTATTAACATGTATCCGGCCTAAGAGTCCCAATCCTGCCAGGAACTCTGCAGGGGCATACCCACTATACTATGCGGATCCCCGTCAAAGTCAGTGAGACTCCTCATAGGACAGAAGTCTGCCTCCTTGGAGCTCATTACAAGGGTTAGAAGGAAATTAGGAATCCAGGTCCCTTCCTTGTGTACAATATACTTTTTTTTTTAATTACTTATTTTGAAAAATCATCATCAGCCCTCATGTGACATTTGATCTGTCCAGGAAACGTTTTTATTCTGTAAAAAGCAACAGAGAGTCCTGTGGCACCTTTAAGACTAACAGATGTATTGGAGCATAAGCTTTCGTGGGTGAATACCCACTTTTATTCTGCTGATCCTAAATTCTTTAAAATTGTTTATTTTGAAAATAAAATATTTTTTAATAAATGATCAAGGGAGAAATGGAACACTTCACAAGTGTGTACGAAAGTCTGATTATGTGGTGCTGGTTAATATAAAAAAAATGCAATCGTGGTTTTGACCAGCTTTGAAGGTTTTGACCAGTGCTTCATAGAGACCAGTGCTACGTAGATGGCAAGGTCACAGTGTACACTGAGTGATTGCCACTCATGCAGTTCTTACATTTTTTGTAGACCTGTAAGGTTCTAAATTACAAGATCTGCAAATTACTGCTGACATGACATTAGGTATAAATGTAATTGTAGATTTATTCTTCGGGGGATCAAATTCATACAGACCGCTTTAAAGATGTAAAAACTTTTGCTTCATAAATGCATGTAAGGAAATAGGCATTGCTCAAATATGCATTTATACAAAAGGTTTTTAAACCGTGAATATTGGCTGCAGGGTATTATCTTCAGAGGACTGATTTTTCTTTCGTTCTTTTTTTTAATTATTATTATTATTATTACTACTGGTCTCAGGATACCATGCTAATTTGTCCTTTGAGATTGCTGTACTTTTTAACGTGCACTTCAAAGCACTTAGTTACTCAGTCATCCAGACGCGCAGTACTTAGTTTAAAATGTGTGGACTGAACTGACTAAAGTAACCTTTCATAATGTAAAATGAAAAGAATCCCTTTGTTGTGTAAATCATGTTAGATATGACACACATTCAAGATTTTAATGCTTTGTTGTGCTGGATAGAGATTTTTTTAAATACTCTCTTTGCTGTGTTTGGTATAGTTCAACATACGTAAAAGGAAGTTGTTTAAAAGACAAATGTGTATTCTGTCACTGTTGAGTATGAACAGCAGACACAGTAGTTTAGTAGTCCAAGATTCCAAGGAATGTAAACATATCATTGCTGTTTGAGTGGCTAGGATCTAACTCTTCAATTGACAGTGCTTTTAAAAATTGAAAGATACCATTTTGCAATCTAAGGGTGTAACAGTAAAAAGTTTGACTGTGTGGAATACTTTTAAATAGATTAACAATATTGCCACCACGGATCATTTAAATTATGCTGGATACTGGCTCTTGTATCCTAAATGTAGGATAGGAAACTTAAATTGCATGGAATGCTTTTAGTTGTTTTAAACCTTTAATAAGAAAATATGAAGTCGGTGCTTCAGGGACCAGATTTTCAAAAGTGCTCAGCACCTACAGATGGTAACCACTTTCAAAAAGATTTCAGCTCTCATTTACACATCTGTACAAAATGGCCAGATTTTCAAAAATACTCTAGACCCCAGCAGCTCTCATAGTTCCCTGTCAGGAAGCAAAGAGGGTCAGTGACTTGTACAAGAGCACAGAGTGAGCTTTAGCTGATCCAGAATTAGCACGCAAGCCTTTCTGGCTTCTAGTCTTGTGCTCTGACTGCTAAACTATGCTTTTCTCTCTTTTTAGTATATTACAGAAGTGACATACTTGGATCTTGCTACTGGAATCATGTGATCTTAGGTTCCCCTACTGAGCCTGATGCTCCGGCATGTGTTATGTACTATCCCATGATCCAGCATCCAGCTTTGTGATTTTAAATATATGGCGTGAAATCCTAATCCCATTGAAGTAAATAGCATTGCACCATTGATTTCAAAAGGGCCAGAATTTCACCCATGAATATCTAAATTATCTGTAGCCATAAAACACTAGTGATTTTAAACTACCTTACCCTTTAGAAATCAAAATTATATTTTTCATGTATTTTTTTAAAAACCCATTGCATTACATAGTACATGGACTTCACATATTCTGGAACCTTTTTGGATACATCATGATTCAACACAAAGCTTCTGCTGGGCTTTTTGATTTCCATAAAATCAGTGTTCTGTTTTATTTTAACAGATTTGCCACTGAAGAATGCTTCTTTGAAGAAAGACCCTATAGATGTAAGATCTTGTTACGTTTACTTTATTTTACGTTTTGGATTTACACTGAGCAGTCTCTGAAGGGAAGTAAGAGAGACAGGGTGGGTGAGAAAATACCTTTTATTGGACCAGCTTCAACAGAAGTTCAACCTCATCCATCTTGTCTCTCTAATATCCTGGGACCAACATGGCTACAACAAAATTGCATGCCACAATCTAAAGGGAAATGTTATTTCTAGTATATACAAGGTCTATGTATAATGAGGTTATGCAGCTATGCAAATTGATGCATAATTGCTATTTTTCAATTTGCCACATAAGTGTGCATAGAGTACCTCAGCTCTTCCTTTCTTGACTTCACTATCCAGAGCTTGGTTCTTATCTCTGAACCTGTGCTCTCAACCTGATAGGTGTTGAGAGCATTGCGGATGCAAGCACATTGAGCTTTTTAGGAAAGAGGTTTTGTTACATTACTCTGCAACAGTCTGTGGCCATTTCAGGACCAGTGTTGACAGATTGAAATGAGAAGTTTCATTAAATCTCAGCGGGAGGAATAGAGAGGGGAAAAAAGGGGATGATAATTGAAACTTTAAGAAGGCCAGGGTTTCTGATAATACTATCTGTTGTGATCATACAAGGATTTGGAGGTTGATAAATATAATAGGGTGTAGTTGAAAACATTGCAGATGTAAAATGTCATAGGGTATTAAAGGCACGTACTGTATAACACAAAGCTGCTAACCCAGATGACAAAATAATGCATTAAAGTATAAAAATTAATAATCTATACTTAAAAATGTTAGAATCACTAAGCATTTACCTGTCTGAGCTATTACTAGAGAATTATTCTTTCTGTAAGAATTATTTCCCAGTCCTGTATTATGATGGTGATTTACTGCATTTCTGGTCCTCCTAAAACTGCTATTTATAAATTTAGCATCTGCACATAGCTGTGTGCTGTCCCATTAATGCAGATTAGTATGTAGTCCATCCTATTACATCCTTTTCAAAACATATAAAAATTATGTTTTAATTGAAGCTTGAAGGAAAGCTCTCATTAAAAATATGATAAGTAGAAATTCTGGAAATACTAATAGTTATAACAGAGCTAAACTGCTCTTCCATCATGTTGCTGTTCTGTGGTATTATAGGTATTAGAGCTCTAAGAACAAACTTGTTTGTGTTCATTCAGTTCTTTCCTTCTACTGCATATTCTACTTTGAGAGTAGCAATTGGGGAAAACTTTCTCCTCTTTCAGCCTTCATAACTTCAGTAAATAAAATAAGTGTATTAACTTTGCAATTGTAATTTACGCTTAGGTGGAGAAAACTGACACACAAAGAGTTGAAGAGTGTAGCTGCAAAGAAAGGAAATCTAAATCTCCAGTAACTACAGGTAAAGAAACAGGTAGGTAAGTAAGTATATTCTTATGTATGCTGTACAACAGAGCTGGTTAGAAAAACACTGACAGAATCATTTTCAGTTGGAAAGTATAGTTCCGTGAAAATTGAAAAGCTTCAATTTTGCCAAAATTTCCTTTCAAAGAAAAAATGGGCGGGAGGGGGCGTTTCAGCCTTTCTAGGACAAAAAAATTTCCTTTTGAAATGACTTTTTGCTTCACATTTTTTTTATTTTGTATTCTATATTATAATTTAAGTCAAAGTTGAAATAAGTTTCAATTGACCAAAACCAATTTTTTTATGGAATTTTCTTTCATGGAGAATTGCAATATTTTAGGGGTTTGTTCTGAATTAGAACAAAAACAAATTTTCAAAATCTTGAAATCCTCCTCAAAATGGGATTTCCATTCTCCACGCAGCTCTACTGCATACACACATAGCTAAACAAAAAGTGAAGTTCCATGCTAAATGTGTTTGTGAAATATATTTCTCTTACTAATTGTTTCACCATGGAATTACTAAACCACGACTTTATTTTTAATTTTTGGCTTTGGGATATACCAGCAAGGGGTGATTGTATGATGCTGTTTGGGACCGATAGTTCAGACTAACATACATTGTTTATTTCTTTATAACTTTCAACACTCAGATGCATCAGAGTGGCTCAACAATCACTGTCCTACCCTCATTTTTTTTCTTCAGAGATATTACTGAATTATCTGGTCAGATAGATATTTCAGTTGTTTTTACTATTGGACATTTTGAATCCAAAAAAGTTAGGCCTAAATTTTCAGGAAGTTTCATCATGCAGTTTACCATAGTTGTATACTGAAGTTTGGTAATTCTTTGCATTCACAGAACTTTTATGCATGCAAATCCCCCAAAATAAAGCAGGAACAGTGCAACAGCAGTGTACTTAATAAAGCTAAAAAGAATTTACAAATCAATTTTCATTCCCATGTATTGCATTGGCCCACAAGTGATAAGAATTCCCTGCACACCCAGATATCTCAATGTTAATCACCTCCCTGCCCCCTTTTTTGTTTAGCTCTCTCCCACGATGCATAGATGGTACTACTGACCATTAACCTTTGGTCAGAGAAATCAAACTCGACTTCACTTGAAGGCAAAGCTGCTATTGGGTTATCTAGTGTAACTTCTACAGTACAATGGCAGCGTGTAATGAAAAATCTCACGCACAAGTGTATTGTACAACTGTTAATTTATGGTCAAATTAAGGTCAAACACATTCTTTAATTCTTAGGTCAAAAAAAAAAATCTTTATATACTCTTGCTTTTTTACAAAATACAAGGGAAGAACATATAGGTGAAAGCCTGAACACCAGGAAAAAAACCTTACCTTTCCTCTAGTTTTTCCTTACTGCTAGAATAGAGACAAAAATAAGTCTGAATGTACCCTTTATTTTCCTTCTTGTGTGTGAATGTTAGTGATCATAAAAGGCACCTCTCTGATATCCCTGCAGAGTGAAGTCCTCTGTACATTCACAGAACAGGTATAGTAAATGCAGCTGCAGTGCAAGCTTATTCACAGTGCCTTAGAACCCTGATTTGGAGGGATTATCATTAGCAGGATAGTTCAGTCTCCGTGCTCAATCACTAGACCTGTCCCCTGGGACTGCCAACAGATGTACTGTGTCCACTGGGAATTGGACTGAGGGAAATCAATCACAGTGTAACTTCAAAATGGAGATTTAAATATTTAATTCTGCTCTACACAGTCCAGCTTCAGGCAAGATGCAACATACAGTGCATAAACACTCTTCAGAACTACACTTACTACTCACTTTTCTCTGAGCATTTTATATCCAATATGTGCAGTGTATACTAATGACTTGATCATTTATATATTTATACTTTTGTGTTTCAGCACAGGAAACTTCAAATACCATAGACATGACAGAAGCAGCAAATATCCAGATTGAAGTAAAAGATCAAGAGGTAAGCATGCTTATTATATTCAGCCTTTACAGACGGAAGCAAAACATACATAACCATTTTACTTCAAGACCTTGGGTTTTCTGACCCAACATTCTAAATGGAGCGTGAAGTTGGCACATATACAGATACTTTTGAACTACCAGTGCCTGGGAACAGGATTGCCTCTTCTGTTCTCTCATGTGGTAAATCTGACATACTCCCACTTTTTAATTACAGATAGAAATACCGGATCAGGAAAAAGTAAGCAGCATGCCAGGAATGGAAGAAAACCAATCTCCTACTCGAGAAGGTGAATCAGGTAGCTGAAACAACTGCAGACACACACATTTATCTTCATAAATCTTAAGGGTTTTTTATACTTGTGTGTTCAAATTTGTGTATATAACCATGGCTCATGGGCCAGTCTGGTAACTTAATGGTAGTGCTCTGCACAGCCATGCATTAGGCTCAGATTTGATTTCCAGTCCTAGGCTCTATCTTCAAAGGTTGATTTGGTTCCAAGAAATTTGTGGGCATATCTGGCACTGATCATTGATGAACTGTCTCATTAGGGAGTAGCACAGGCAGGTTAGAGACACCTGATCCCTGCAGGAGCAGAGACCTCCAGCCAGGACTTTGTTTTGTCCAGCCAGAACCGCAGCCTTCCCTGCACATTGAATTGGGTGTCACTGGCCCTGAGGCAGCGCAGGGAGCCCTCTGCAGCCCCATTATCATGGTCCTACTCACTCTCATGACAGCAGGGCAACAGGGGGCTCCCTGTCCTGCCGCAGAAGCCATTCATCAGCATGTAGCATCCCCTGGAACTGGGGGATCCTCTTCCTCAACGCAGACGCTTGGATAATAGGGTTTCAGATAAACAGGAGTATACTGTGTTTTTTTGTTTGTTTGTTTGTTTTTTGGTGACTGCCTTCTTGTTCTCCAATATCTCAGTTTTTCATTTAAACAAAAAAGTCAATAGCCCTTATGGTTGGGAAGATAACCTTGAAAACATGCATGTGACCCATGCAGTACTGTCTGCTTGAGTTTGCAGAGAGTCAAAAACAATTACTCTGACAAGTGGGCATCGCTCCTATTCATCTCCATGGACTGTTAACTCAGATGTTAAATGTCAACATCGTTACCTATTTCACTGTTGTTAAAAGCAGTTAAGAAAGCAGGGGGATGTATTAGGAAGACCTGCATAATCTGTTGAGTGGCATTTAATTTTGGTGTTATGAGTGGATGGCGCATAGGAGAGTACCACTGCCTTTTTCTCCCCAATCTGACCAGTGGAGCTGAAAGGCCAGAGGGGAGGAACAGAGCCAAGGGAGGTATCGCATCCTCATCAAAGGGCAGCCACTCCCATAGAGTCCAGCAAGAAATCCCCATTTCCTTCAAGGGAGAGACGAGTCCAGCAATACCCATAGATGTAGGTGAATCGTACTGAGAGGGAACCAACTCCTGCAAGCCTGAGGATCCCAGCAGAACACACACGATCATATTTTGAACATCACAAAATCTACTGCGAGTGGTGTCTCATTTTGGCATCTGAAGTAGGTGGAGCTTAGCTTGTTGGTAAAGCTTGGGAGAATATCACTATTTTTTTTTTTTCCAGTTCAACCCGATGGACAGGGCATTGAGCTTGATCTGGGAGGTGAAGTGGGGGGGGGAGACAGAGAGAAAAGGAGCCCCACTCTAATAATATCCCCCCAAATGTTTCACCTGTTCAGTCAGAGCATCTACTGTCAGAATCTATATGGGAATATCCATCCAAGAACTGTGATCTGCCCTGGGTAATATTGATTAAGCCCTGCCTCAATTACCACTGAAGAGTTTTACAAAAAGAAGATAATATTGCACCTCTTAACCATAATTATTTTATACACACTACATATTAATGACAGTAGAAGAGTAAAAATATGTGAATGATATTGGACTAATGGAAATTTTCACTTCCTCTCTTTGACTGCTTTTCTTCTATTGCTCCAGAGAACAAATGAATTTATTAAAATGATTAATTATAAATATATTGAATGCAAACATGTAGTATGTAAAGTAGTTTTGCTGTTTAATCTGGTTGGAGTGCAGTTGAGGTCCATGTTTAATTTAGTGTGTCACATCTATGAAATTGAGGTTGTTTGTCATGCTTTTTAAAAAAAACTATGATGAGTAATATAGAACTGAAAGTTTCTTTTCATTGTTTCGTGTATTTGCTCTTTCCAAGAGAAAGGACTTGATTTTTTTTTTCCCCCCTGATTTACAAAAATGTAAATCAAGGACAACTTGGCTGATGCAAAACAGGGGTAAATGAGAAGAGGATCAGGCTCTCATAAGCATAGACAGGAGCACGTCCGTTAAACATTTAAACTGTTTTGCAGATGATTATCCGATTACTCAGGATTTGAGAAAAGGAAACAAACAGAGTCAGTGCTCCAAAATAAAAGATATTAAGGTATTTTTATCCATTTTCACTGTTGTAGTCAAAAAGATATTGAGAGAATTTTGGTGTCTGATGCTGTAGATATATATGTTTTGATTTTGGGGGCGATTTTCATAATTACAGTAATTGTAAATTCTTACAATAATATTGTAACTATTAAATGTTACCATGAAAAGATTCAAACTGTTCAAGCCTCAAGTTTGAACTCTTCCAAAATTGTGAGGCTGCTAAGTGTCGCACATCAGATGTGACATTCACACGTTTGGCAGCTCTTCACATCTTCCTTCATTTCAGTATAATCTGCCTGCAGCAGAATCTTGTACATCTGGCTGGACAGCAGGCATACAACACCAGTTCCCTCTCAACCATTGCAGGCTGCTGCTACCAAAGATTCTGCTTCTCCTCTCTCTGCTCCCCCTGTTGGTGCCCTGCCAGCTTGGGTCTCTGGAATTGGGGGAAGAGGAGGAGGCTAGTGCTATATATTGCAGGCAGAGATGTGAGGAAATGAGGGGGAAGGAGCAGAATGGGGGAATACTGAAAGGGAGCAACAGAAAGGTGGGTTAGAATGGGGAGCAGGGACAGAGATTGGGCAGGAGCTGACAATGAGCAGGATACAAAGGTTGAAAGAGGATTGGGGCACAATTGTGGGGTGACTGGAGAGGGACAGCTTGGTGAAGCCTGTTCCAGGCTCACTGCCCCCTAAAATCTTCCTCCTACACAACAACTCTCCTAGGCCTGGTCTACACTACGACTTTAATTCGGATTTAGCAGCGTTAATCCGAATTAACCCTTCACCCATCCACACTACAGAGCCAGTTAATTCGAATTAAAGGGCACTTAAAATCGATTTCTGTACTCCACCTCGACGAGCGGAGTAGCGCCAAAATCGATTTTGTTAATTCGAATTAGGGTTAGTGTGGCCGCACACCACCGAATTAATGTGGTTAAAAACCGAATTAATGTGCTTAGTGTGGCCGCGCACAATCGAATTTATACAACCTGTTTCCCAAATTCGAATTATCTAAATTCGGATTAATCCCGTAGTGTAGACATACCCCTAGGCTGTGCCAGCCTCTTCTACAGCCCCACCCATAGTCCAGGCTATCTCAACTTCTCCCCCTGAAGAGAACACCCCTTCTAAACTCTCCTTCCAACACTCCATTCTCCATTGGTTGCACCAGTCCCCTGCTTTTGAGTTTTAATGGGAATAGGCTCCTGTCTCCCTTGCATGTATGGCTATGGAGGACCCTGAAGGGGAAACCACTAGCTATTTTTCATAATCAAGAAATGTCACACACAGAGCTGAACAACACCTGGTTACTGTGAAATTTGTATAATCCAGTAGGGAATACACCAGGTTATTTTTTCTTCCCCCTGCATTTGATGGGAAAATAGCCATCATCTGAGTGTGTCTGAGTATATTCTGTGTGACCAGATTATCCCGCTACTTGGTACCAGCATTCAACTGATGCTCTGTTTTTAGTAAGGGGGAAAAAAAAAAGATGAAGAATGCACAGCAGAGGTCCCACAGTAGTACGTCTTCTATTGACAGTTCATTAATCTGCAAATATTAAGACAAAATTGGAGGGATAAAATACTCTGTAGAGGAATGAGCCCATGATATTTTGTGTGTTCTCTCTCCCATTGACTTTTTAGTACTAAAGTTTTAATGGAGAATTAAATAGCCATGAAGAATAAAAATAGTATTTTACACTAATATTTTTTAAGAGTAGCTGGGAGTGACCTTATAGTTGTAATAAAATACTCTTTTTATTATTTTTTCAAAATAATTAAGGATGTGACCTCTGGAGATATAGCTGAGGTATCCAAAGAAATCATTAGGAAACACGCACCTTTTTCAAGTGCTGTGGAAGAAAAAGGTAATGTAAATATAAATTCAGGGCAATTTACTGAAACTGTACACAGTTAACTTTTTTAATTAGAATATATCTTTGAGATAACAAAATGAGAATCTTTATTTCATAATTAAATATTTGCTTATCTTCTCCATTAATAGTGTTATGTCTATAAAAATGTTAAGTGTAGTAGCCATTGAAAAACACTTGGTTGGCTTCTGAAATTGCCAGAGTTGATTCGGGGCCCCTGGAAGGCCTGTCCGGAGAAGGCGCACAGGAATGTAAGCCAGCCACTGCTTCTGCTCCATTGCATGACCTGGAGTCAGAAAATGGGCAGTTTGCCAGAGAGGTGGGAGGGTCAGGACACTTCACCAGTGAGGCTCTGTGTAGCTCTGGCCATAAATTAGAGCTGCCTTTCCTTGACAGAACCACAACCTGCTCTCCCAGAGAGGAACTCCCCCTTCCAGTCAGCTGCCTGTAGGAGCAAAGTGTATAAATTGCATTGACTGTGGGTGACTTAGCCCTATTAATTAATGTATACATTGTACTAAAAAAAAAAAAAAATTATATAGTGTCCTATGAATTAATGTTGGCTTTGACTTCCTCATCTACCTTCCTTTGCATAGTGTCAATACACTAACATGGGATTGATCTGTTTAATGGCTTCAATTCCCAATACCAACAAACCTGCTGACAAATCTGAGTTTGTTTTGCAATTAACCACCTATTCAGCTCACCTCCCTAGCTTTCTGGTTGGTGGGTGTGGGGAAAAAAATTAATAGTAGTATCAATAAATGACTTGACTTTGGGGTTCTTGTTACAATAATATGGGTCACCCTCTCAAACTTTGTAATTCCATTACTTTATAATCCAAAATCCAGTACAGTAACTCCCACTTGTCTAATGAAGCAGCCTAAACAACATAATACAGCAAAAATTGTCAGACCAATATTATCTGACTTATTAATATTTTTACTGACATTTAATTTATAGTACCCCCAGGCATATAAAGTAGTTTTGAGCAGTACAGAGACTATAGCCAATATTTTTTGTTTCTAAAGCGAAGATATGCAGTGAACTTGTGTCTTTGACTTTGTATTTTGTGCAGATGAGTTAACCAGCAAACAGGATACTTGTGAAAAAGCAAAGCAGAGTCTGGAGTGTAATTTAAGTTCTGTAGAGGCAAGTAGTCTTATCCATCTTAATTCATTGCCATTTGAAAGTTTAGCGTTAAGACAAAATTACATTTTGTCTCTTACTTTCTGTCTGCAGCAATAAAAATAAAATATTGACTTCACCTCAGCCATAAAAGAAAACAATGATTTGATCACCTGGAGCATTGTAGAGTGACTAATTAAATAGCCAGGCCATAATGTCCAGTCCAGAATATAAGCCATAAGTAGTTCTGTCATCAACCAGAGTAAAAAATGCAGGAAAGAAGTCCTGTGACTTGTATGGTGTTTTATTTTTATTTATTTTTTTTTTTTAAGAGCGTAATCTAAAGAGAGACCTGGTATGTGCTGGTGCTGTATGTGTAACAAATTGCATTTAACCTGCAACTTTGACCACTTCATTTGCATTCCTCCCAATTAATCCATCTCTACCAAGATTACTCCCAAAAGGCAAAACAGCCACAGGTGATTTTTTTTTTTTTTTAAACATAACCGGGCACAACATTTTTCTTTACTTCCCATACCCCAGCCCCACAAAGGTTGAATTTCTCCCTCCAAACTACAGTGGCCTGAAATATACACACAAGTAAATTCTGGACCAGTGACAGGTTTGAGATCTGATATCTCATGACTCTTCAAAACTATAAATCACAGTAATTGTTGCTATTTACTGTTAAAAGCCAAGAACTGTCCCTTTCCAATGGTATAAGGACTCTATTTCTAGCCCTGGTATCAGGGCACAAAATCTTGACATATTGATATGTGGAAAAACTATTGTAGGCAACTTTCAGAAGTTTAAATATATTTGTATTTTTCCTCATCAGAGAGAGATATAGTTGAATTTATGTTAATTAAGGCAGCAGCCTGGCTTTACAAACAGAGGGGTATGAAAAATAGTACCACAAACAATTTTAAAATAGTTTTTTGTCTGCAAAGTATGTGGCTTAGAAATGTAAGTAAATTTACTGTGTGTGAAAGGTGTATTGATTGACTGTCCTGGAGACTGCAATCACTACCTAGACACAGCACAGGTAGTGCAAATTTACCTAGAATACTCCTAGCGTATCAAAACCCAAAATTGGAAGAAGCATCTCTAAAGCTATGTCTACACTATGAGTTAAAGGTGTGATTCCGAATTCGTGTGCATACATTTGTGCTAGCCTGAGAAGGGCTAGCGTGAGTATAAATAGTAGTGTAGCTGCAGTAGCAGCAAGACAGCTATTTATATTTGCACTAGCTCTCATCAGACTAGTGCAAGTATGCATGCACAAGCTGGGTATCACACCTCTAGCTTGTGGTATAGATGTAGCCTAAGAGTACATCTACATTGCAGCTGGAGATGTGAATTGCAGCTTGTGTAGACATATCTGTGCTGTCTGTACTTGCTAAAAGGAAAAGTAAGGAAACTGCAGCGTGGGCTTAAGTGTGGGCTGCATTAGCAAGTACGTACCCAGAAATGTCAAGTGGGCTTGTGAAGCTTGCACTGCAGCATCCTCTTGTCCTTTTAGCGAGGTAGCTAGACTATAGCTAGCACAGGTACATCTACACAAGCTCCATTTGCACTCTCAGCTGCAATGTAGACATACCCTAGAGCTGAGAGAGAAGTAGGTTTCCTTCCTCATTCACGGCTTCATCCAAAGTCCACTGAAATCCGAGGAAAGACTATCTTTGGTTTCAGTGAGCTTTGGATCAGGTCCTCAGTCTTTGGTCTCTCTCGTGGAACTGCCAATGAGGTACCAGTTGTGGTGGTGGTTTTTTGGGATCTGGCCATCTGGCCAGTAAAAATTAGACTGATACCCACTAACTTATTTCACAGAGGCAACAATACAGCAATCAGATGATGATTTTTGTTATTTACAACCTGGGCTAGATTCAAGCCAATGACCTAGAGCTAAAAGATTGCATTGTTTACCAAAAGCCTTGAAATACACCTCTACCCCGATATAACTCTGTCCTTGGGAGCCAAAAAATCTTACCGCGTTATAGGTGAAACCGCGTTATATTGAACTTGCTTTGATCCCCCCCGGAGCGCTGCTTTACTGCGTTCTATCCGAATTCGTGTTATATCGGGTCACGTTATATCGGGGTAGAGGCGTATGTAGACCCCAACTAGTGGTATAGTGTAAGTTACATCTGCAGCGATTCTTACTCAGGACATATGTCTTTAAATAATAGAAATAAAAATCTTATTTTGATCATCTGAATGGCTCAGCTGTTTGACTGCAGACTGTTTTGGCTATTATGATTTGAAGGCTGTTCCGTATGTCCTTGGAAAGATACTTTGTACTAGAAAATGTCTCAGATTTCCCTTAAAGCCAGGATAGTATGGTCATTCTTATTATCCCCACTGTTTGAATGAATACCTGCACTAATTGAAAACCTGATGTTACAGTAACTAAAGCCTGTTTCTCCCCTTTTTTTAGGAAAATCAACCTGTAATAGTTAAGCGGAAAAGAGGAAGGCCTCGTAAATACCCTCTTGAAGCAGTACAGAGTAGTAAGTACTATGTGATATCTTCATGGAAAATATGAAAATGTTAACAATGATTTTTCTGAATCTACTTTTCTTTTTCTTCAGGGATGGATTCAGAAGCTGACATAAACACTGGAAATGTAAGTGTCTGAATATTTTATTTGGATACAGTGGAGTCGCATCTTACGCAGGGGTTAGGTTCTGAAGTCAGCGTGTAAGGCGAAAATTGTGTGTAGTCAAACGCTCATTGAGTGGAATGGCGGGCGGAATCTTCCGCACTACAGGTACAGTATTTAAATTGTTATTTTTCTCCTTTTTTTGTTTTTTTTTTTGCTGAGCACGTTTAGTTAAATCATGTAAGTTAAATGCGCCTATGATGCGACTCCACTGTACACACATTTTGGTCATTTAAAGCTATTTTTTATGTAACTTACCATGTAAAAAACCAATCAATATATAAACTAGAAATTAATGGTTGAGTGTATGGTTGTGAAAATATAATCCAATATAAACATTGATTTCTGTGAGCAAAAAGATATTCTAACCAATTGGAACTCAGTAGTAGTGTCCAGCAAACTAGTAGTACTTTTTTTAATCCAGCATTGTAGATGTTGATGGGATGATTTAGTTGGGGATTGGTCCTGCTTTGAACAGGGGGTTGGACTAGATGACCTCCTGAGGTCCCTTCCAACCCTGATATTCTATGATTCAGTGTAAATGCTCTTTCAAAAATTGTAGTAGCAATGAAAATATCAAACTTTTTACAGATAATTTTACACAACAACTCAGATACTGATGGAAGACATTTGTATGCTGTTATAACCTATGGTGAGGTCATTTTGGTCTAAGTATCGGGAAAGGAGGAAAAGACTTAGACAGTTTTGCCTCCTTTCCCACCCTATTAGTTCCAGCAGTGAGCTCGATGCATCTAAGTATTACACGCCTAATATATAGAAGAGATGATCTAGTAGAAAAGCTGGTTGTGTGATCCCTATATTTTGTCGGGAGTTTCAATATGGGGGATTTCAGTTTGTATTTAAGCTAATAGGCCTAGTCAGAAGACAGATATATGTGAATAGTAAATTAAGAGCTCCCTAGGTAACCCTCTAACTTCTAAGAGTCTTTGCTGTCTATTTTATTAATATTCTAACACATGTAACAGCTGCTAACGAAGATACCTGTTCTGTTGAAAGCATTTTTGCTTAGTACAGTTCAATCAAATTATAGTGTGGTGTAATGTTGAATCAGAACTTTTACCCCAAGTGTAGCTGATTTGGAAATTTTCTGGCTTAGCATTTTTCCAAAGGTAAATGCCAAGTCATGAAATTTGAAATGGTCCACAGGAGTCAGGCAGCCTGAGGAGCCAGTTGGCCCAGGATCCATGTGAAACCAAAATCCCAATCTTCCTGGCTTCTTAGCAGTCCGACAAGCAGGCTGCTGAAGAACGTGAGAACCCCAGCTCCTGAGCTTTGAGGCTCCCTGCTCAGCCAAGGTTTCTAGGCTCCCAAATCCCCTTCAACCTGCCTGGCGGAATTGTTTCAAAGCAATTTTTCAATAAAGCCCTTTTTGGATTTCTTTTGCTGAGCATCTTTCATCGTTTTGTTTTCGTTCCGAATCAGAATGAAAACAAATTTGGAAATCTTCCATGAAACAGAATTACTGTTCTTCATCTAGCTCCAATCCTAATCCCACTCAACTTTTGTTGTTAGCTGACAATTTCTAACAGCCCCTTATAAGGGAATGTCCTGCGTCTTTGTGTGGTGATGCACATTGGCAGATTTATCAATCAACATAGATTGGGTCCAGAAGGAGCTGGAGCTACCCTCCACCAGAAATAGTGTCCCTATAATGTGAAGCCTTAGTGATTGGAGATAAAGGGGAGATTGCTTCTGATCCATTAATGCTACTGGGGATAAATGCACACTTCAAAGGGAACGTTAGACTCCTTATTGCAGACTCTTAAATCCAGTGGTGAAAGCAACTGTTTTTGTATTCTTATCCTAGCAGATTGTAGTTATGCAGTTTTTCCTCTATCCAGAGTGAACACTAACTTGTGTCTGTAGTGATTTTATGAGTTTCTTTAGTAGTGTAGATTTACATAAAATTGCTGTACTACACCTTCCTTTCCTACATATTGTTAAATTGCCGTGACTCTGCAAAGTTAGTTTTCAGAAACTTGTGTGATCTCGGTTGTTTTCAGTAAGCATTCAGTAAGCAGTAGCATTCCAAGGTGTAAAATGCATGTTTCAATAATTGATGTAATTTGATTTGTCCATGGACTAACCCAGGGGTAGGCAACCTATGGCACTCGTGCCGAAGGTGGCACGTGAGCTGATTTTCAGTGGCACTCACACTGCCCGGGTCCTGGCCACCGGTCCGGGGGGCTCTGCATTTTAATTTAATTTTAAATTAAGCTTCTTAAACATTTAAAAAACCTTATTTACTTTACATACAATAGTTTAGTTATATATTATAGACTTGTAGAAAGAGGCCTTCTAAAATGTTAAAATGTATTACTGGCACGCGAAACCTTAAATTAGAGTGAATAAATGAAGACTCGGCACACCACTTCTGAAAGGTTGCTGACCCCTGGACTAACCTGACAAATTGTTCTAAACTCTGTTGTCCAGTCATGCATAGAATAAATGCAGACCAGTGTCACGACAAGAAATTAGATATAAAATGTTCTGCATGTCAATCAAACTTTTCTGTTGTTTCCGGTTTTGGAAACATGTTTTTCTATCGATAGAAGTAAATCTTAGTACTTGCTAATCCATTGTTAAGTATATCTGGTTCTATTTTAAGAAATGTTTGGGGCTTTTTTAATTTTAGGTTCAACAGTCTCCAATTCTTGCTACTAGAGGAAAGTTTTCTCAAACAGGTAAGCAAGTAAATTATCCATCTACCTTAACAGATCAACAGGAAAGAGAAGGGGGACACCTATAAAAGCTTACCTTCCAAAAAGTTCTAAAGTGTCCTTCCTAAGCTTTGCCTCTGCATTCAAGAGTCTCTCCTCTATGTAGAAACTAAGTAAACGAATTGGTAGAAACATGATGTCCATCCCTAATATGAGTTTTATATAGAATAGAAAGATAGCAACTAGGTTATTCTCTCTTGATCCTGGTAGGACTTATTTCAACAGCGCTTCTCCTGGCGTTAAGTAAGAAATAATACACGACAGAAAATGTTGTTATGCTATATGCACATACACTGTGTTGGGGAGCACAGGGCAGAACTTCACAGAAGTAGTGGCTGCTATAGTAAAACTGACTCCCAACTGCTAGCGATCAGTTTCCATTTTTGCTTCTATCTCTTTCCATAAATCAGATACCAAAATTGCAAATATTAAGGTAAGGAGGTTAAAATACAAATAGAAAAATAAGTCCTTACCATATCTTTTCTCAACTAACTTCACTTTCTATGGAAATGGGATCAAAAGGTGGGTACAGATAGACCAAGGGAGGTATACAAAGCAACAGGGGGACGGTATTGGTCAGCATGATAGGCTGTTGTCTCAGCAAGCCTGACGACTATCTAGTTTTTTGTAGGCTTCACAGCCAAGGAGAGTTTTTATGAAGTGATTTTTGTTTTATTACTTCCCATGGCCCAAGTAGTATTTTCAAATGTATATAACTATTAAATAAAAACAGTTGTGTTGTTTTTTTTTTCCCAAACCTAATCAAGGCATTACACTTCAGTGAGGCTAGTTCCATGCTATGTTTGAAACTTCAGTCTGGCTTAAAAATGGCTATCTGCATGGGGGTTCGTTGTGGGGAGAGACTTAGTGTTCAGAATAGGAAATAGGGTTTGAGGGCTTTTCTGTATAACCAAAGATTGAGAAACACAGTTGATTCAAATTTCCCACAACCCTCCCCAAAATAATCTTCTTTGGGCAAAACTTTAAGTGTGGAAAATGTCACAAGAATTTTTCAGACAGTTATGAGCATGTGATACTGGATTTATAACTGAAACTGTTTTGCACCAATTACTATAGTGGTTGTTACTGGATCAAGATTTTTTTGGGATTATTATACAGGTTCAGGGCAGAATTTGTTTATATACTTTTATTGAAGTTATATACTTTATAGCAAAGCTGGAGTATCCATACTATATGGACTAGATGACCTCTCGAGGTCCCTTCCAGTCCTATGATTCTACCATTCTATATTTTAAAGAAAAAGTACTATCTTGTGGGGTACTTTTTAACACAAAACTGTGTTTTGTAAGAGATTTTACAAAATGTACTGAAAAACTATGAATACATTAACATAACACAGCAAAATGAATGAACTCTGTTCACATTGTATTATTTATTTGTTCATTAGAAGGTTTATTTTGCGAGATATATTGTATACATACAATATGATGGGGGCTAATTGAGCTACAACTAATCAGGAAAGAGATCTTGGAGTCATCTTGGATAGTTTTCTGAAGACGTCCACGCAGTGTGCAACGGTAGTCAAAAAAGCAAACAGGATGTTAGGAATCATTAAAAAAGGGATAGAGAATAAGACAGAATATCTTATTGCCCTTATATAAATCCATGGTATGCCCACATCTTGAATACTGCGTACAGATGTGGTCTCTTCATCTCAAAAAAGATATACTGGCATTCGAAAAGGTTCAGAGAAGGCCAACTAAAATGATTAGGGGTTTGGAATGGGTCCCATATGAGGAGAGATTAAAGAGGCTAGGACTTTTCAGCTTGGAAAAGAGGAGACTAAGGGGGGATATGATAGAGGTATATAAAATCATGAGTGGTGTGGAGAACGTGAATAAGGAAACGTTATTTACTTGTTCCCATAATATAAGAACTAGGGGCCACCAAATGAAATTAATTGGCAGCAGATTTAAAATAAAAGGAAGTTGTTCTTCACACAGCACACAGTCAACCTGTGGAACTCCTTGCCTGAGGAGGTTGTGAAGGCTAGGACTATAACAGGATTTAAAAGAGAACTAGATAAATTCATGGAGGTTAAGTCCATTAGTGGCGATTAGCCAGGATGGGTAAGGAATGGTGTCCCTAGCCTCTGTTTGTCAGAGGGTGGAGATGGATGGCCAGAGAGAGATCACTTGATCATTACCAGTTAGGTTCACTCCCTCTAGGACACCTGGCATTGGTCACTGTCGGTAGACAGGATACTGGGCTGGATGGACCTTTGGTCTGACCCAGTATGGCCATTCTTATGTTCTTAAGGACTAATCTCAGACGTTTTTGTTACATATCTATATTAAATATAATTATGCAGGTCTTAGAATGTTAATAATAAATTTCATTCACAATTCGAGCTTTTTCATTAAATCTATTGACTTAACTCCAACACACTTAAATGTGTGTTTATAGTTTTAGAATATGTTTCTGCTCATACAATCTAATAATTTGGATAGATAGATGTCCTTTCTATATATGCTATGACAGATAAGCAGATGGACTAATAGGATGATCAAGCTTTGTTGAACCAAATTGGGAGTGGGATTTTCTCATGCCTGGCAGACAGCAAAGAGAACTAGTAGTTCTGTAGAGGGGGAAAAAAGACAATAATTTGCTTTTGTCATGAGCCGCCTTCTTTCTGTTATGAGAGATTTCTATCTGCACCATTATGCAAATGGTGCCAACTGGCAAAATTCTTTGCCAGGGATGGAGTAGACGTTGTTCCAACACAGAGTTGGGCAGGCCAAAGTTAGAGGTTGTAAGCACCCACTACAGTGACAGCACATATATAGTTTCCCTTTTAGGCCTGGGAGCTGCTTCTTAGGATAGTTTGCATGTTGGAGATTGTATATGCATTTTTAAAACATGCACCACAGTCCTTCAGGAATATTAAATGAAGGATCCAGTCTACCTTTACATGAATAATCCCTTTTGATTAATGCAAGAGTTGCAGTCAGACCCTAAAACTCTGTCCTTTTCTGTTGCTGCCATCCTCATCCGTTAGATAGCAATTGAAATATTTAAATAACTTTGCTTTTTCATTAAAGTGGAATGGCATTTACTACTGATTTTAAATCAATAAATGCAGTAAATAGTATCATGTGACCTAAAAATCTTAATTTTAAAGACCTGAATATTTTTAATGAATAGACCATCTCTCTTTTCAAAAGACAAAAAAAGCCTGTCTTTTGTTTGCAGTTGGTTGGCATCCCTGCTGGAAAGAGAGCCTTTAAATGTGTTTCCGACTACTTTGGTGATGTTTATAAAAAGCCAACAAATTGAGTTTGGAAACATCATTTTTTAAAAAGATTGATTAGTAAAGGAATTTGAAGTTCAGTTTTACATTTGGGTAGAGTTCTTACAGTGTTTCTTCTTTTTAGCTAAAGACACATCTAATAAGAAAGAAACAGCAAATGTAAGTGCAAGCATTTTTACAGAAAGCCTCTAAGCAGTATACTGAAAAATGGCCCGCTTTCTCACATTTCATTAGTCCTGTTTGCTTTCATTTCATTACCTCAGGAGGGTGAGGCGGGAAAAGCCGAGATGATTGTGCGTCGAAGAGGAAGAAAGCCCAGATGTTCTGTGATTCCATCAGAGGAAACTGGTAAGACATGAAATTGTGCTGCTCTTAACAGACTGAAGAGTTTACTGTGCCTAGGTATACATTAAATTGTAACAAGATCAGCTTTATTATGTTTTCCTTTCATTGGGGAAAAAAGCATTGGGTTACAGCTAGTGTAAATATTATGTAAATTGCTGTAATCTCATGTCAGAATTGGTACATCCCAGATGCGTCTATAAACCCCCATGAATTTTGTATGAATTCTGGCTGTGAACTGCAAAAGTAAACTATTGAGAATGTGTTTGAGAGATTAAGTCAAACAAGTGTGAATTAAAAGTGTTGAAGGATGAAGGAAACGGAAAATTACTTTTTACTACAACTCCCATTTTAAATGCCTTTTCTAAACTGTGTCTATATCCTTTTGAAGGGCCTTTCATGAAATTATAACACATGTAAAATTTGTCATGGACAGAAATACTGGAACCGGAAAGAAAACGTCGGAAGTTGGCATCTGCTGCTGAAGAGGAAACGAAAGAACAGGAGGAGGAAGATGATGAAGATGATGATGATGAAGATGATGAAACACATTCTGGAGCCACAACTAGATCAGCCACGAGATTAGAGGCTCAAAAGTAATATTCAGCTAGCTAGTATTTTTAAAAGACATTGCCACCAATTTTCTATGACACGCACACAGTTAACTAACCTTTCTTTTTTTAAAAAAAAAAAGTCTGATATTGAAAAAATCTGTCAGCCCTACAAAACAGGATGGTAACACTAGTGTTAAAAATCCCAGCTCCTCAACAGGTTGACCTACAAATTGCAACTCTAAGGTTGTCTCTATTCTACACAACCTATGTCACCATTGCTGTGCCAGCATCGCCCCCAGTATAGAGACAGCCTACACTGACAGAGTTTTTTCTGTTGGTGTAGTAACTTCACCTCCCCGAACACCATTAGTTATGTTAACAGAAGCACTCTTCCATCTGCATAGTTGCATCTACACTGGCAATTCACACGCTGACCAATGTAACTATACCAATACAACTTTTACGTGTAGACCAAGCACAAAGCAATGTCTTTGCAATTGAATGCTAATATTTTGTGCCATCCTCCACTCATCCTGGAAACTGACATGCTTTTCAGTTCTCACAGGAATGAAACCGGCAGGCAGAATGGTGGGAATAGTAAAGCATGTTTACCAGTAACTGGAACAAATATGTTGTTGAGTTGCATGTATAAAGAGCTGAGATTTTAATACTTTAAAGTTTATCTTTTTAGCTACAACACTTAAAGTCGTGTGTGCGTGGTGTGGGGACTTATCCCTTATAAATATTGTACCTCGTCATCATAAAGTGAGCTCTGGTATCATCTATAGCAGTTGTAGATGTACTGAAGTTGGCGTTAGTTTAGTCCTCTCTCAGATTGTCATGGTATCTAGTGACTTTTTGCTTAATTAAGTTGGAGACTCTGAATCACAGTGCCAGGCTTTTTTCTATCATGTGCTGTCATATTACTCAATGGTAGTCAAGTTAAGAAAATGCAATGGGGAGAGAATGTTAGTTGTGGTATCTGATAGAAACTGTCTAGAAATTACATGTTCAACCACCATAAGATGTAAAGCCCTACCCCTTCTAGAGGAGGGCAGCTAGATATGTGCTGACAAACGCTTCACATGCATAATGGCTGCATCCCATCTGCTTGTTACATCTTGGATTCCTGATAAGGAATTGATTCTAGTAACGAGTGAGTTGTTGCCTTTTGGACTGGCACCCATGCAGTATGTGTGTCCCTAAGATGTTTAGTGGTCATAGAAGAATCTGTTCTTGCCAACATTAGGGTGCTGCAGTTAATAATAGATCTAAAATCCCCTTTTATCCTTGTGTAATGTAGTATATAGAAATACTGATAAACACGGCTCATCTAAAAGCTTTAATTCACCCTGAAAAAAGTCCAGGACATCACGGAGGTGACAAGAAGAATTCACCTGAGTCAGCAAGTTTCTGCAAGGCCCGTGCTCTGGATGTTGAACTTGCTGGCTACTATAGTGGTCATAATACCACACACACACACCCTCAATGTTCCACAGGCGATACTGGTATTCTTGCTGCATTGAGGAAACTAGCTGCTTCCAAGATACTGTGTGTTGTGGCAGTGCAAAGAAAATTTTCAGTATGGAAAGGCCTGCCAAACTACTCCAATCCAAATTGTAGTAACCCTGTTCTTGGGATGAGGAGCCCAAATAAAGGGAAGGGTACTTGGTCTCTCCAGAAGTCCAACTTTATATAAAAGTCCTGCAGATGAGGTCATGTCCAAAATTGGAGTATTCCAAAAGGTGTAGTTCTTAGTCAAGCAGACAGTTAGGCTACCGTCTATTATTACATCAGCAAACTTGGATGGACAGTGTCTCTTCTCAAGAATCAAGAAGACCCGAAGATTCCCAAAAGACACTTATTTGTATCAGGCATGTAAGAACTAATTCCAGGTCCTTCTTCATAGTCCTCCTGATAGGGATTTCTCCCGAGTTTGAGGCCAAGAGAATCTGGGTGATCTAGTAAGCAAGCAAGAGGCCTCTGACTCAGTTCCATGCCGTTTTTCTTTTGTACCTCGAGGCCATGAGAAGAAAAGGAGACAGCACCACAATTGTCAACTGCCATTTCTCTTCTAAGAATTATAGGAAAAAATGAGGACACAGCACCAATCTGCAGTGCTAAAGCAAGAAGTTTTCATTCTAGTGACCCCTTGAGATTAGAGAGAAATCTTATTTCCTGATGCCAAAAGTTAAATGGTATCAAGAGCACTGCCCGAGAGACCAACCTCAATATCTGTCCATGCTGATGGATGATCTGGTGCATTCTAAGGGCCATTCTAAGGGCTATTCTCAGTGCAGCCAAACAAAAGTTCATTTCTAGTCTTGATGTTGAGCATAGGATTCCCATGGAACCACAGAATCAGGTCTCAGGGCTTGATTAACTCAGAAGATCCTATCTTGGTTCCATTTTCAGTGACAACGTACTTAGACACCACCATCTTCATTGGGATTCTAGTAATCACTATCTTGGCTTCATTTCTGAGGACCTCATTTTTACCTTTATGGGACTCAACTGGTGCTCAGACCACGCCTTTAACAGCAATACTCTCTGGCCCTCAAGATCTTATATGCAGAACAGTCATACAATTGTTGTTTGTCTGTGAATCCCCCAAGAGGAGTTATCTATACTGCTAACATCAACACACCCAAGACCAGATACTTGCTCATAACTAAGATTCTTCTTCAAGTGCTTCCACATTAGATGTGTGCACACTGTGTCCACCATTGCCAGAGATTTTCCCTTAGTGGTATCCGTTGGGCCAGCTCTAGTGCCCTCTGGAGCCGTGTGCTCATGCACTGGTATAAGGGGCGCCACAGGCCACTCAGCCTCTCAATTTTCCTTCTTACCGCCCGTGATGTTGCTGGAACGATCCCTCTTGCTTCAGCAAGGCTTCTTCCCAGTGGATTTTGGACTCTGATTCTTAGCCCTTGTTTTAAACATAGCTTTAGTGTATATAGAGATTGTAGTTTAGAGATAGTGTAAATAGTGTAGCTAGGGACTAGTTATCATTGAGGGTCTCTGTACATACTAGGGGCCAGGTATGTGGAGTCCCTGGGCTTCAAACCTTGTGCCTCCTGCAGCAAACCTATGCCCATGAGTGACCCACACTCAAGTTCTTTGAAGTGCTTGCAAGAAACTCATGAGGGACAAGTGCCAGATTTGTCAGGACTTTAGACTCCTCACTAAAAAGGACAGAGAAATAAGCCTCAAGGTTATCCTAATGGAAGCTACTCTCAGACCAACCTCAGAGCAAAGCTGCTCCAATTCTGCACAGAGTACTTTGGCGTCGGTGCAAAGCGCTCCTCTGGCACCATGCTCTTCCCCGCAACGTTCACCATCTCCCAGTGCAAAGGAAGAAGCACAAAAAGCAGCGCACTGACGGTGGGTGCTCACCAGTGCAAAAAAAGACAAGCATGGGGAAGGCAGCACAGTGCGACCCACACCGTGGTCACCAAAGGAGGACTCTTAAGCTGCATGTAGGGTTCCCCCTTCTGAGTCAGACGAAGTCACCCCCCCCATACCCTGTGCATAATTTAAAATTAAAGATAAGCACAACAAGAATAAAGGACAAACCTCAATTCTGGATTTCTTAAAATGTATTCTTCTTTACTCCCAAATTTGCAGATGTCATTTTGCATTGACAGTATTGATCCACTTGTGGCAAATGCCATATTGTTTTTTAATTTCCTATACTTATTACAGATGCATGCTGAATATGATTGGATTATTTTGCTGTATTCATTCATCATTTTTATAAAAAGTTTTCTGTTAACATTTCAGAAAGCAGCCAAGCAAACCAACCACCCGTGCTGCTTCTAAAGGCAACAGCCCAAGTCCAGTTTCTCCTAAAAAACAGCAAAATTCAGCAGCAAAAAAGAGGTCGCCTAGTGAGGCAAAAGTTAGCAAGTCTCCTCCATTGGCACAGTAAGTATGAAAATGGAAGCATCTTTTACTGTTTGTTTTTTGGATGTCATTAAATTGATCCTTTTTTCGGTATCTATAATTTACTACAACGCTGAACTGCAAAGCAAAAAGAAAGGTGGGTTTTGCCTTTCTCTGATATCCCAAAACTGTTTCAAAGGACTTTCCCCATTTTTTTTTCTGTGTATTCTTTTACATTTGAAATATCAGATCTTTACTTCCCATTCTGTGCTGGAGGATCTTGGAAAGTACTTAGGAGAGCCTGATTAACAATGTCACACCAGACTTTAATCTGAGCTGCAATTCTTTGTGGAATAGAGAAGATGCTGGGGCCAGGAGAACTGCAATTCAGGTTTCAGCAGCATGTGACATACTCAGATTCTCCGAAGAGATTCCCTCTTTCTGTCAGATGAACTTGGGAAGGGAGCCTTTGAGATTCTTAATATTTCAAGTTTTAAAAAATGGCACTGGGAGGAGAGGGAAGGAAAGCATTTTTTTCCATTTTTAAGTTTGAGGCTATCTCTATGTATGATATGGGAGCAATAAAGGGCACAAATAATTGTTTACCTCTACAGAAACCCTCTACAGTACTGTTTACCTCTACAATATTCCTCCATCCAGTGTGTGGCATTGGGAGCACGCACACTGCTTAAATAACTTGCAGCAATAGTGACAAGCACATATTGTATACTGACAGTTAGAGGCTGCATTTCAGTTTACATTAAGCACTTTGTGATGGCCAGTAGTTTGGGCCGTGGTCATGTGTGGTTAAGGCTAAGGCATGATTGGCCTACACGTGCATGCACAAAGGGGAATGTGTAAGGTGCCTTTCCATTAAGCCCTTTCCTGCACAAGAGACACGAGTCAGTTGCTGTTCTTTTACTGTCTTGAGTGAAGAAATTTGAACCCTGCTTATGTGTTTCTGGGGCACAAGCCACCCCCCAAACAATGGGGAAGAGAAAGGGACATGGTCCCACCACCTATCTTCTCTGCACCAGCCAATAGAACTGGCTGGCTCTTGAGGGTGAGTATATGTAGCATCCTTCTAAGGCGTGGTGGAGTGAGTATAGTCCCCCTACATGCTGTGCAACTGAGGGAGGTGTTGGGCACTGGGGAGTTGAGACAGCATCTCCTGGCATCTCCCCCTGGAATGGAGAAGTGTGCCTCTAAGCAAGTGTGCCTAAAACCCCTTTGAAAATATAAACTATTATAAAAATTGTAAGCATTATTAATAATTGTTATAACTTCTAGGTTAAAGATACAGACTAGCAAGCGTAAAAGGGAAGCCAGCCCACCAGCGGTACGCAGAAAAGGCCAGCTGAAAGAGGACGAAACGCCATTAAAGAAAACAAAGCGATAATTGTTACCATCTGATAATATTCATGGAAAAGTTGAAAGAAAAGAGAGTGGTCTCTGCTTCTGTTTTGTTGTGTTAAAGCAAAGGGATTTGCATGTGCTTGTTTCTGAGCTCTAAGTTAATAGATGCAGAACTTAAGTTACATTTTAAACAGTTTTATAAACTATTGTTTATACAGAATATTATACAGATTAAAAAATAAGTTTACTTTGTAGCTGAAAGAAAAACAAAATAATTACAGATTTTAACACTGACTCAGAAAGTTGGGATTTCCCAATGTGACATGCTAATACAGATGCTTCCACTCCACCAGGCACCAAGGGCCTACTAATGTTCTTTGTATATAAACTTGTAAAAATAGGTTGTATTTTACTGTGTATGAATCTAATCAATGATGAACACTTTATTTATTGTATGGAGAGGACTGGTCTGTAAACTTTAGTATATACCTTAGGTTTTATTAATGATATTTTAAATTCTATGCAGCCATCAGTAGGAATCTTCTTTTTAGGGCTGTCTAAAACCCAAAGTTCTCTGAAATATGCTCAGACAGTTGGTAAAGTATTCTCTCGCATGTATTAAAGTAGATAAGCATAGTAAAGGGGACTCTCTCTTCTTTTTCTGTTCACATTCATAACTATGTATAAAATAGGCAGTGTCATCTTTCCAGATTAACTTTTCATCTCTGAATTTTGTACCAACCTCAAAGTAGTAAATAGTAGTAGTTTAGCTTTACTCAGACCATTTCAGCCAAAACTACTCTGAAGTACAACGTTTTATTTCACAACTTAACTGTTCTTTCAGTGTTTGTCTTTCAATGAAGAGGGACCCATAGAAGTGATATTTAACTTCAAATAACTATGGAGCTTCAGCATTTTATGTTACATTTTATACACAGGTATTAAAAAAGTAGAACTTGGTGGTATTGCCAGAATCTTTTTTTAATGTATATTAACTCCCGTAAGAGCAAATGTTCAAGTTAAGAAAAGCTTAACTATGTAAAACTTAAGATCAAATTTGTCTCTTGCAATGATATGATGAGTTGCCAAATAATCCGAGATTATTTTAAAATGTTTTGTTCATATTCTTGTTTTATAATTAAAATTAGCATTCTGTTTTGTTTTTTGTTTTTTTACTCGTTATTGTAAGGCGCATATTTCTGTCAGATATTCTACTTGATTTCTTACTGAGATTTTATATATAAATTATAAAATGTTTCCCAAAACCTGAGTTGCGATATTTGTTATCTTTAAATTTCTTAATTGTGTCACTGTATTTGTTTGTACTGTATTTACAATCGACTTGGATGGACTTACTCACATGAGTAATGATTTGCATAATCAGTTCCTTTATAAAGACTCTGTATCACGCCATCTAGGTATCATATATTTACTACAAAAATAATTTGGACAACTCATTAAGTGAATCCATGTCCTGAAATTAAAGAATTCCTCCAGTGAACTGATTGTTATTCAGACTTACCGAATATCCGTAAACTTTTTAAGGTCTGTTTTAGACCCCAGTTCAGCAAAGCATCGAAGCACATGCTTAAGTCCTACTGAAGCCAATGAGACTTGAACACATCCTGAAAGTTAAGCACGTGCTTTGCTGACTAGAGACTGACTGTCTGCAGAATGAGGGCCACAGTGCCCTAAAGACTGATGGAGTGATGCTCTAGCACAGCAATGGAGGAAGCAAGTTGCAAAGACAAGTTTGCCCTCTGTCGGTTCTGGAAAGACAAGTTCCTAGTGGGGCTGAAGGGAATTTGCTGGGGGAGATGGTAATACAAATAAAAAGCTTCTAAATTCATACTTAGATTCCCTAATTGCCCTCAGTTTATAACATTCAGGCCTTTCTACGTTAGCAATTTTAACAATCCCTACATTCCAAAGGGTTGTCAATAAAAGATCACTTGAAGCTGCCATTTCAACAAGCCGTGGAGCAGCAACTGGTGAAACCTACTGTCTCTGCAGAGCAGGATCCCACATAGGAGGAAGCAGCATAGCTAATGTAGGTGATGCACAAAGCAGCTAGAATGAAGTTTGTTGCTGGCACTGGAGTGCTTGAAAAAGCAGTACCTGCTCAGTAGCTGCTTTTCATGCCAGCGGCTTCTCCGATAAGAACATGTTTTCTTAGTGTGTGGGTTATTTTAAATAGCCTGTGACATCCACTCCATATGAAGATGTACACTAAATCACATGTGGTGTGTGTTAAGAATTTTGCTTGAGCAGTCTGAATGCCCCAGTGCTCTCCTGATTTCCCTCAGAATTTCCCAGAAATGTAAGAAGAAGCTGGCCCAGAAGGCAAATGCCTCAAGCATCTAAGCTGGTCATGACTGTATCAATAAGTGTCCACTTTGGTGTGGGTCCAACATAAATCCCACACTTGTACTTTTCAGACCATTAATACTTCAACCAGCTTTACACTCTTGCTACCTTGATCTCCATCAGTGAGGTCTGCATTAAGAAAAGACCACTTTACTCCCAAGCCATCTCTTCTGCCCTTTGCTTCTGAAAGCAAACTGCTGGGATCTCTACTTCCTCCAGACCACTTCATTAGTCACTGTCCTGAGTCCAGGACATTCTGTATGGCTTGTTGTCTTCCTTCCAACACATGGCTTTAGCTGCATTGACTTCAATGGAGTAATACCCACTTATACCAGCAGGACTGAATTTGGCTAGTAGCTTTTAATTCTCTTCCTATCAGAGAGTATGTCTCCACTTTGGGTTTTTTCAATGCACACGTCTTTAAGTGAACATAAGAATGAACAGACTGGGTCAGACCAATGGTCCATCTAGTCCAGTATCCTAAATTTTGGCAGTGGCTGGTGCTAGATGCTTCAGTGGGAGGGAACAGAACAGGGCAATTTATTGATCCAGTCTCAGCTTCTAGCAGTCAGAGGTTTAAGGACACCCAAAGCATGGGGCTGCATCTGTGACATCTTGGATAATAGCTATTGATAGAGCTATCCTCCATGAACTTTATCTAATTCTTTTTTTAACCCCGTTATACTTTTGGCCTTCACAACATCCCCTTGCAATGAGTTCCAGGGGTTGATTGTGTGTTGAAGTACTTTTATATGTTTGTTTTAAACCTACTGCCTAGTAATTTCATTAGGTGACTCCTCACCACCACCATCTAGTTCTTGTATTACATGAAAGGGTAGAAACACTTCCTTATTCACTTTCTCCACACCATTGATGATTTTATAGACTCTCTTTTCTCTTAAATCATCTCTTTTCCAAGCTGAACAGTCCCAGTCTTTTTAATCTCTCCTCATATGGAAGCTGTTCCATACTCCTAATAATTTTTGTTGCTCTTTTCTGCACCTTTTCCATTTCTAATATATTTTTTGAGATGGGACAGCAAGGACTGTACAGTATTCAAGGTGTGGGCGTACCATGGATTTATACAGTGCATTATATTTTGTCATCTTATCTATCCCTTTGCTAATGGTTCCTAACATTTTTAGCTTTTTTGACTGCTGCTACACATTGAGCAGATGTTTTCAGAGAACTATCCATGAGGACTCCAAGATCTTTCTGGAGTGGCAACAGTTAATTTAGACCTCCATCATTTTCTATGTATAATTGGGATTGTTTTCCAATGTGCATTACTTTGCATTAATCAAGATTGATTTTATCTGACATTTTGTTGCTCAATTGCCCAGTGTTGAGCCATCCCTTTGTAACTTTTCAAAGTCTGCTTTGGCCATAACTATCGTGAGTAATTTTGTATTATCTGCAAACTTTACCACTTCATCATTTACCACTCTTTTCAGATCACTTATGAAAATGTTGAACAGTATAGGTGCCAGTACAGATCCTTGGGGAACCTCGCTATTTACCCCTCTCCATTGTGAAAACTGACTATTCCTACCCCTTTCCTGTCTTTTAACCAGTTACTGATCCATGAGAGGACCTTCCCTCTTAGCCCATGACTCCTTACTTTGCTTAAGAGCCTTTGCTGAGGGACCTTGTCAAAGGCTTTCTGAAAATCTAAGTGCACCATTATCCCTTGGCTCCCCCTTGTGCATATTTGTTGGCTTGCTTGAAGCATTCTAATTGGGGCTGTCAAGCGATTAAAAAAATTAATCGCACTGTTAAGCAATAATAGAATACCATTTATTTAAATATTTTAGATTTCTACATTTTCAAATAGATTTCAATTACAATACAATACAAAGTTTACAGTGCTCACTTTATATTTATTTTTGATTACAAATATTTGCACTGTAAAAAACAATAGTATTTTCAATTCACCTAATATAAGTACTTAAACTTTCATGATAAAGAGATTGTACTAACTTACAAATGTCTAATTATGTACAAAAAAATAACTGCACTCAAAAACAAAACAATGTAAAACTTTAGAGCCTACAAGTCCACTCAGTCCTACTTCAGCCAGTTGCTCAGACAAACAAGTTTGGTTACATTTGCAGGAGACAATGCTGCCTGCTTCTTTTTTACAAAGTCACCTGAAAGTGAGAACAGGCGTTTGCATGGCACTGTTGTAACTGGTGTCGGAAGATATTTATGTGCCAGATGCACTTAAGATTCATATGTCTTCATGCTTCAACCACCATTCCAGAGGATATGCTTCCATGCTGATGATGGGTTCTGCTCAATAACAATCCAAACCAGAGCAGACTGATGCATATTTATTTTCATCATCTGAGTCAGATAACACCAGCAGAAGGTTGATTTTCTTTTTTGGTGGTTTGGGTTCCGTAGTTTCCACATCAGAGTGTTGCTCTTTTAAGACTTCTGAAAGCATGTTCCACACCTCATCCCTCTCAAATTTAGGAAGGCACTTCAGATTCTTAAACCTTGGGTTGAGTGCTGTAGCTATCTTTAGAAATCTCACATTGGTACCTGTAGTGGGGCAACTGCCCCACTCCAGTAGGAAGGGGTTAAAAGCAGCCCCGCAGAGGGCTGTGGCTGGGAAAAGCAGTGAGAGCAGCTGACCACAGGTGTGGCCAGTTCAATCAGGGCCCAGCTGGCCCTGATAAGAGGGCTGGTGAGCCAGAAGCTGGAAGGAGTCTCACTCTAGCCCTGGAGTGGGAACGGCTAGCTGCCTGGGAGTAAGGTACCTGAAGCAGAGCAGTGCTGGGGAAGCGCAAAGGGAGCTCCAGCCTGGCAACTCCCCAGGCTGAGGCCTTGGGTAAGGCCAAAGCAGGTACTGGGGCTACAGAGATGTAGCCTGGGGATAGGCAGAGGCAGTTGGTTGTTCTCACTTTCAGCTGATGTAAATCAGAAGCAGGCAGCATTATCTCCTGTAAATGTGAACAAACGTAGCGATTGGCTGAACAAGAAGTAGGACTGAGTGCTAAAGTTTTACATTGTTTTGTTTTTGAGTGCTGTTATGTTAAAAAAAAATCTACATTTATAGATTCCACTTTCATGGTAGAGATTGCACTACAGTACTTGTATGAGGTGAATTGAAAAATACTATTTCTTATCATTTTTACAATGCAAATATTTGTAAACAAAAATAATAAAGTGAGCACTGTACACTTTGTACTCAGGGTTGTAACAAATCAATATATTTGAAAATGTAGAACAACATCCCTTTACAAAAGCCTTGTTGACTCTTACCCATCATATGTTAATCTGTGTCTGATAATTCTGTTCTGTAGATTCAACATATACATAGTTTGACTGCTGTATGAAGGGGCACAGGCTGAAGCCTGTTTCACTGGCTCTCTCTCCCTACCTGGAGTGGTACCTGGGCTGCTGGTGCCGGGGTGGGAGGAGAGGGAGAATGGGCTGGCTTAACTGGAGAGCTCCTGCAGCGAGCTGAGCGTGGGAGTTGTGGCACTCTGCTGCACCAATGCTGCCACTCTGGTGCCGCTACAGCAGCTTTCCTGCTGTCCCCTGCCCCAGTCCCCTCTTCCCTTCCCCCTGTCCTATCCATCACCCTTCCCTACTGCCTTTTCCCCCAACCCCCCTCCTTCCACCATATCCCTGCCCCTCCTCCCATGGGCATTCCCCGTTGTACAGGAAACAGGATGGTGGCCATGCAGGGCACAGCAGCAGACACTAGGACCTGGTGGGAGGTGGCATCCAGCTGCAGTGTCCACCATCAGCAGGAGAAGCAGCTCTGTCTTGCCGGGGAGAGGGACCAAATGAGATGGAAATGTGCTGGGGGGGGGTGCAATGTGGAAAAGATAGAGCCTTCCCACCCCCGACAGGCTGAGCAGAGCAGCTCAGCACTGGC